ATGTAATATAATAGGTCTCATAAAATATAAACAACCAAATAATTTTAAAGTGTCATTTCAAATATCATTCATGATTTATATATTATAAAATAGCAATCCTTGACACATAGAAAAAAGTAAAAGTAACCCTAATATTCAATGACTGATCCTTGGGGATACGTTATTGATTCATTTTATGAAAATTGTAATGTTGCTTTTTAAGATGTCAATATGTGTATATTTCATTTCACTGAGCAAATTTATCATATGTTTGAATTTTTTAGATTACTGAAAAATAATTGTTAATTTTAATTGTTCAATAATTGATATGTTTTTATTTTCAGATTTTAAGGGCTTCTCCTACCATAGGTATAATATTAAACTGTTACAAATATAGTCGCCGGTTTCTACCGGCGACTAATAAGATAATGGATTTAGAGCATGTTAGATGCATCACATACGGAAAGTAGAATCAAATGTAAAATAATTTGTAATAAAAGTAGGAAAACGTTATCATTGTAATATGTACAGAATCACTTACTTTCTTAATGGTTACCTCTACATAAAACTATTGTATCTACATATTTTTACCTTTACCCTGAAAATTCTATATTAAACGCTTGTTTTGAATTTAAAACTATCAATTAGAAGTTTCAGGGATTTATAAATAAGTTAAATTACTGCTGTTTACTACCTTACAGAACAGTATAATGGAAAAGTCACACTATACTATTTATTATCTTTGAGAATTTACAGACAAAAACTGTATAACTAAATGACAATTTTTTCGACATTAATCAAATTTTACTATCAAAAACACGTAAATGATTCACACTGCATCCTTGGACAAATATCTGAATATTTCAAATACAATAAATCCAATATGTGAACTTTAAACTACATGATTCAAACACATTGCATGACAGATTTTTTTTTCTCAGCACAAGCATTAAGTTGATTTTGAAACATTTTACACTTTGTTATTTAATATTTCAGCACATTTGGAGGAATACCCCTTATGAATGATTGGTACACAAAATAAATTTGCTTATTTCATTTTTTATGCAGAAATCTGAAAATTTAAATAAATGTGTTTACTGATTTATGAATATTTTCCCTTTCAATAAGACTTGGAACATCCATGGTTCCACACCAGGCATCATTTGAGCCGCGTCACGACAAAACCAACATAGTGCGTTTGCGACCAGCATGGATCCAGACCAGCCTGTGCAAGTAGAGAAACTGATAGCCAACAGTATGGATCCTGATCAGACTGCGCGGATGGGTAGGCTGGTCTAGATCCAATGCAGTCGCAAACCCAATATGCTGATTTTGTCGTAACACGGCTCAAATTTTCTAGAATCACTATGAGATGAAAACTGTGTCCCATTCTAGTATCACTAAATAAATATGTATATTTTTATCTATCACAGATTTTGACTCAGGTCATGCTGGTTTTCATTAGCTGTTGTAATCTGTTCAATCGTTCATCAATTTCTGAAATCTCTGCAGATCTATCAAAATAATCACTGTCATAACCTGCAAACAGATTGTCAAAAAAAATACAAAATGAAGTCATATGAATAATTTAAATTTAACTTGTGTAACTATTGTATAGATAACTATTGTATATTCAGCTCATTCATTATATAAGAATTAAAAGCTTACAAAATGTAGAAAGGTTACAACAGACCTAAAATTATATAATAAGGAACAAGAAACAAATTTTCAATTCTGATTGACTGATTGATTGAAGATGCTCATCTCCCTTCTTAACCTTTACCATGCCAAGTATCTAAAATGGACCTTTTTATCTTCCAAACTGGACAAAACTATTTATCATTTTTTGGAGAAAATTTCAAAATATTTACTAGCTGAATAGTAAATAGTGCCGACCCTGATCAGACGGTACAGATGTGCATACTGTACTTGGTCTGCACTTGTGGCATGGGTAGATTAAGTAACAGCTAAGGGGATAAGAGCTATTTTAAGCCACTTCAATTTCAATTCAGCCAGCAATATTAGGATTGCATAGCTACTCTCAAATACATTTGTTTTAAGGGACAAAGTATTGAGGCATTTTTATCATTTTAAGGCAGATGATTTTAGACAGGGATGACTGCAGAAGATGAGATGGTTATATTAAAATCATCATCTTACCATTGCTATCTGGTATATTTTCTTTGTTTCTAACAGATCTTGTTCTTCCACGTTCAAAATCTGGTGTACTGGCCAATGTATGTAATGTTAAGGTATAAAATCCAAACTCCTCACAGCGGTTACGTCACGCTTTGCTACTTTAACCACTGCCACCACTGAAATCACGTGATGATAGTTGTATCATGTGACAAAAACATGGCGGCCAGTTTCAGAACGCCAGGGATCCCATATCAAACTGGCAGATTTATAATTACATCCTTACCAGACAAAATAAGTTCAAGACACACAATTTGTTATCACTTTAAAACAAGTGCCGGATCAAATTTTTTGTGCAATCGTTCAATAACTGTTTATATTCTACCATTGTTTACTATGCATACGGTGTCACAGTGAAAATATCTTTCGTTATGTTTACAAAATAATTTTTATACGTATATTTTTTTACTTTCTTGTACATTAAGCATAACTATTTAACGAAAGAAAACTAAAATGATATAAAGTATTCTATTTTTAAATTAAAAGTGAAAAAAATATATCCGGCTATATTCGACCGAATTTACTTGTGGTGGCAGTGGTTACTGTACAGATCAGGGGAAGTAACCGCTGCGAGGAGTTTGTATAAAATCGTGTATGAATTCTTTCATTAACATCATACAAATATTGCAAGTCTTTTACGACTGTTTATTAGTTTATTCTTTCAAAAATAAAAGATTGTGTTTTTCTGCAAATTAAATACAGCAATATTTCATAACTTTCACTGTTGAAGGAAGACAAATTTAAGATGCCCTTCCATACATTATTTTAAATAACCTGAAAGAACCATATTAAATACTCTGAAAGAACCACATTAAATACCCTGAAGGAACCACAATCAATCAATTACTTCTAAAATGATAATTCCATGAAAAATATCTACATGTATGTTATATGTCTAATTGAAATTTTATCGCCATGGATATTCAAGTAAACTTTTTTGTTAATTATCTTTCTAATACAATTGGCATATAATTGAACAGATTTTAAAAAAATATTTAAATAGAGTTGTTTAATTAATTAGCAACTATATCATTAATTCATTATTTTATATTAGTAAAATCAAAGTGTATACTGCAGTAAATATATTATGAAAAATGTACAAATGTTTATAGCATCAAAATGATAAAAAGAATTCAATACACATCCCATATATGAAATAGGGCATTTATTAAATGCCATAAATGACAAATGTTACATAATAACAAACATGGCATGTACATATTTGTATCGAAATAACTAAACTGGGAGGTAAAAACCGCCTAGCTAGGGCATTTATTAAATGCCATAAATCACATACCAAACAAGTTCGTCCTGCCAGTTATATTTGCTTGACCTGGACAATACATTTTGTCGATTTTTAATTATTATAAAAACGAAACTAACAGGCATATTCTATGTGACTTGAAAAAAGAGTTTAAAAACATTGTTCGTAAAAAGAAACGACAATATAGACTTAAAAGGGCACAAGAATTGTCTGAATTGAAAACTAGTAAACCAAGAGAGTTTTGGAAACATTTCAAAAAACGAAATGTATCACAAAGTTCGGATATACCTATTTTAGATTTCCAACATTATTTTGCAAATATGTTTGAAGAAATAAGGGCTACAACTAATTTTGATGCAAATGTTTCAAATGATAATATTGATCCTAATATTAGTAACCCTACTTTCGAAGAGCTTAATATTCCCATATCTTGCGAAGAAGTTATAGAGATGCGGTGAAGCGATTAAACCGCAACAAAGCGTCTTGTCCAAGTGATGACTTGTTGAACGAATACTTTATATTTTCTATTGATATATTAGTAGGCCATATCACTGATCTTTTTAACAGAGTTTTTGATGCAGGCTATTTTCCAGAAATATGGTCTGAAGGCTTTATTATACCTCTTCATAAAAAAAGGCGATCATACTAATGTTAATAATTATCGTGGCATCACATTACTACATGTAATTAAGTAACTTTGGGAAATTATTTATAAGTATCTTGACAAATAGAGTGGAAAAATGGTTTGATGAGAATAACATTTTGTCAGACGCTCAATTTGGTTTCAGAAAGGGGTGTAGTACAGTAGATGCAATTTTCGTGTTACACAATTTAATAAACCATATGTTAACTCAAAAAATGCGATTACCTTGTGCTTTTATCGACTTAAAAAAGGCGTTTGACTCTGTGAACCGCAATGCATTATGGTATAAATTGTTTAATATGGGATTACATGGGAAGTTACTTAGAACTTTTAAATCAATGTATTCAATTGTTAAGTCGTGTGTTAAACATTGCAATACATTTTCAGAGTTTTTCAATTTATCGGTTGGGCTACGACAAGGCCAAAATAATTCGCCCGCCATGTTTGCACTATTTTTAGAAGACCTAGAATTATTTTTACAAAACTCTGTCGATTGTGGATTGAATATATTTGAAATATGTATAGTAATATTGTTATTCGCTGACGATATGGTAATAATTGGTAACTCGCAAGAGGATTTACAACAAAGATTAAACTTGGTTTGGGGCCGGGTTGACCAATTTTGGGGCCGGATTGACTTGGGGCCGGGTTGACTTGTACCGGGTTAAACATATGCTATTAAACAGAATCTTTCTATTTGAAAGACCTTATGTATTAAACACTGAACTACGTTATTTTCAAATGTGCAAGCATAAATAATGAAAAAAATATTACCAAAATTGTTTAGATAGTAATTTTATGTCATATATCACTTGTTCATTATTAAAAATGATATTAAATGGTACACTTAAACCAAAATTTAAGAAACAAATGTCCATTTCGTAGTTGAAAAGTTCATTTCGCGAAATGGAGTCCATTTCGCATTCTATTACTACCGGGCAATTTAGTGGTCATTAGCCTCGATTATGGATTTACCAAGAAGACGCAAACTGAAACTATTACAAATTGAATGCTTGTGTCGCATTTAACATGGCTGGAAAAGTGATTTTATTTATCATTCTTTATGGTAAGTGTTCTGATATTGTAAACCTGTTTATTTTATAAGGTAGATTAGAATTTTGGGTTGAATTTTGGTAATCAACCGATTCGTCCCATAATTAAAACGTTTCGAGGCATTTCGGTCCCAAATAGTGGTATGCCTAAAATACGAAAGTGAGATTTTTGACGAAAGTGAGCGAAATTGACTTTTAAAATTTGAATTGTACCGTTTTAATTGAATTTTACAGTAAAATTGTTATTTTCAGACGTATATTATTAGCAATCGGTACAAGTCAACCCGGCCACAAGTCAACCCGGCCCCAAGTCAGCCCGTCCCCAAATTGGTCAACCCGGCCCCAAACCAATGTTATTTCTGGTCAACCCGGCCCCATTTTTTTATTATTTATTTTGCTTTAAAATATAAACACTTATATTTTACAAAGTAATTATTTTTTATTATTTTTTCTTGATACGATGTTTTATAATAATAAAATGATTTTACATGCAAAATATCGTTAAATTTTGTCCATAAATAAAAAAGTTATAAGTTATATTCGAATTACGTTCTATAAAAGTCATATCCGTAGTGAACAGAAGATACCGAATATGACTTATATTTTATAAATTGATTATTTTTTTATTAACTTTTCTTGATTAATAATAAAATGATTTTATATGCAATATATCGTTAAATTTGGTTTATAAATAAAAAAGTTATAAGTTATATTTGTTTTTGTTTTTTTTTTATATATAAAATCATATCCGTGAAGAACAGAAGATATCAAATATCATTATATGACTGATATTTTATAAAGTAAGTGGGGTTTTTTTTGTCTGGATTATAGTGAAATAACATGCAAATAATCGTTAAATTTGGTACAATTAATAATAAATCATTTTTATTCCATCATACAACAAGATGACTTAAATAATTTTATATATATTTTGGGGCCGGAATGACCGATTTTGGGGCCGCATTGACCAATTTTGGGGCCGCATTGACCAAATAAAAATACTGTGGGGCCGGATTGACCAATTTTGGGGCCGGGTTGACCAATTTTGAGGCCGGGTTGACTTGGGGCCGGGTTAACTTGGGGCCGGGTTGACTGTAATTCTTAGCAACTTATAATATTTCTTTTCAAAAATAATCACTATGATGATTTAATCGTCATTTATTTGCATAATTTCTATACAGTACACAAGATCTGAGATCTTCCTTTCGCTCATTTTAGAAATACGAAAGTGACTTGTAAAATATTAAATATAGAGTTTAAATTTAAATTTGTACTAAAATTGCAGTGTGTAGACGTATGTTATCAGAAATATATAATATTTATTTTCAAAAATAATCACTATGATGATTTAATCTTCCCTTCGCTTAGTCCAACTAATTATACTTGTCAAAGAGACACCGAGATAATTTTGGACGGGGGCTGTCTTTTTCCGGTTTGACAGTAAGAAAAAAAAAGTCTGTAAAATGGGTCAAACCGTTCACGCCGAATTAATTAGGCTACCCTTCGCTCACATTGAAAAATACGAAAGTGACTTGTAAAATATGAAATAAAGCGTTGAATTGAAAGTTATACTAATATTGCATTTTTCAGGCGTATATTATCAGAAATTAATATTAATTTCTTATAATATACGTCTACAAACTGCAAATTTAGTAAATCTTCTTTCGTATTTTTCTATGCAAGCGAAAGGAAGATAATTAAACTTTTATATTTAGAAATTAGGCCAATAAATGGCGATTAAATCATGATTATGGTTATTTATTATAATATATATAATTAGTTGCTAATAATATACGTCTACAAAGTAACAAACAGCAATTTTACTGTAAAATTCTATTAAAACGGCATAATTCAAATTTTAAAAGTCACTTTCGCTCACTTTCGTCAAAAATCTCACTTTTGTATTTTAGGCAAACCCCCCATATAGATGGTAAAGAGTCAACTCGGCCCTATACCAACTCGGCACGGGTCAACTCGGCACAGGTCAACTCGGCCCACTTTGAAAAAAAACATATTTAACGTATTAACTTTTTCTTATTATGTCATCATGTTATCAAGGAAAGCTGTTTTAAATGAAAAACAAGAGATATGTGGTATATTATTATATATTTGTACATTATTTGTATTGCTGCAGAATTAATGTATATTTAATTTAGAAAAATTATGTTTTTTCTTGCAAATTCGTTAAAACATTACTATAATACAAATGTGTTTTCCTTTTGTTGGTTTTTGTTTGAAATCTTCCATAAAATATGAAATAAAAACTTGTTTTTTAATACTTATAATATAAAATATATTAAATGTTTGTTCTTTATCTTACATAAGTAAAACTACATGTTATTTATTATCATGCAATGTATTTTGCTATGTCCCAATGATGGATTGTAATAAGATTTTATTACCCAAATCATTAAAAACGCTTTCATTACCAAAAATGTAATACTAATTTAATAAAACATCTTTACACGTTTATGAATAAGTCCATATTTTATTATGTGGTTCCAACAAAACAAACCAAAATTTCAATTAATTGAAAAGTGGGCCGAGTTGACCCGTGCCGAGTTAAAATAGGGCCGAGCTGACTCGGGGCCGAGTACATTTTAGGGCCGAGCTGACCCTGATTCCAAATAGAGATTTATATCCAGAGTTACGATCACTAGCGAATAAAAAGTGAAAAATTGTGGGTAGCATATTGTTTGCAATTATCTTTTAAAGTATAATTTCAGAAAAAATATATCAAGACAATATGTTAAGAATAGAATAGAACAACTTTTATTTCCAATCAAGGGTCAACGTTTTATATGACATATAAATCACATAAATCACAATAATATAAATAATGAGATCAAATAAAGGTGTTCAAGAAAGTAAAACTTGATTCGTATAATAGCAATTTAATTGCTATTATACAAATCAAGTTTTACTTTCTTGAACACCTTTATTTGATCTCATTATTAAGAATTACAATGAACTGAAAAATAACTTATAAACTAAATTTTACCGCAAGATTTTAAATAGTTCTGGCTTCCAAAACTTATAAGCCGCTATTGAACATTTTTGTTTTTCATCTGATGCGGCATTAAAAGTTTTGGATTAGACCTGTTACGAAACCTAACCATAATAACATAAGTTGATTTAAGTTAACCTTATTTTTCACTTGCAATTACACTTGACCCAATCAATTCTTGTGCATTTTACGATAAAACAATTATTTTAACATTGTTCTATACCAATTAAAGTATCAAAATTTTAATACCGTCATTAAAATTGCCTATTTAACTGTAAAACATCAATTACGCCGATTACAGTTGGCCATGACATTTAAATGCCACGCGAGACCTCAGACGTACGACGTCATTCCCGGGAACCGATTAGAATAGAGTCGTGTACTGTATTTTGAACATCTTTGTTGACATGATTTCAATATTTTAATCCAAGATAATGTTTTTATTTATTTTTATTAATTTTTAATACTTAAAGCTACACTAAATAAATAGAGGATATTCAAGTTTTTTCTATAAATACACGATTTATTTTCATCGAGTGGTATGAAAATAAATATTTCATGAGTGGCGGTAGCCACGAGTGAAATATGGTAATTTTCATGCCACAAGATGAAAATAAATCATGTATTTATAGAAAAAACTTGAATTTTCTGTTTATTATATACATTTTTCTCTTTCTGGACATTAAAATTTGCAAGACTTTCCCTTAAATTTTGAGTACTGGCAGAATTTAAAAGAAAGTAGTCCGGCAAGACACCAGTGAAAATACGGAAAATATGTTTCACTGCAGTGAAAAATAAATTTTTACAGTGAAAATACGGAAAATGAAAATATGCATTTTATTTCATCAATAGTTCTCAATATTTCATTTAAAAGTGTATAATAAATATGTTAACATATTTTTGCCGTTGGCATAAAAACCAAGCATTCTACAGTTTCATTAACCATTTTAACAGTATCGTTGTAAATCTCATCAAATATTGTTCATAAATTAGGATTTTAAATGGAAAACCCCACGGTAACACTAAAGTTCGTATACGAATTTTAACATGCAAATGAAGACTATAATCAGCTCGTATATGCGCTACGTCACGGTGTTATAGTTGCTATCCGGAACACAGCAAATATAAGATTTTCTTGTGCAAACACACTTTTTACCGTTTAAGCTTCACTGTGCATGAGGCCTGTGGTTCAGAAAAAATAATCATCTCATAAAACAGATTAAATTTGTATGAAAATATCCGTTACAATGCGGAAATATACTGTTAAATTAGGACTGCTACTTATAGTCATGTTTGTTGATTTAATATTGATGTACGGATGATCCGAAGGCGGAGTTTCTAATGCAAACAGAAATTGTACTACCGAATTCGCCACAATGAGGTTGCACATTTGTATGCTCATTAAACTCATGTTGGTTGTCTGGACACCAAAATAAGATCTTGAGTCGATATGAAACCTAATTTATTAATGAAATGTCGCTATTTCTTTTTTTATGAAATTTATTTAATGTAACTTTAAATATGATTTAATTGAATACAAAAGTCAGTAAATCACCTTTTTCAATATCTTTAAAAAAAGTAATTTATTAAAATATTGGAAGCACATGGGTTTGTAAAGGTCAATCTCGTAATCATGTGGTCAAACATTTTGGCAATATGGCGGCCAAGTGCCGAAATTTTTATCTGTCAGAAACTATTAGGCAGTTTATGTTCGTAATAAGATTTTAATTGTCCATCCTTGGCTTATCAACAGATTATATATAGTTTTATCAAGGTATGCTTCACTTTACTTCATGGCATGTTCCATGAATGAATACGAGCGTGTCAGATTCCTGGCACGATTATTGGTGGACTTTCCCTATGGGGTTGTCTTCAGCGTTCACGTCATGTCATAGTATATGAACAGGTACGCTGAAGACCTTAAGCTACAGCCTCATGAGTCATGTTATTTGGTTTACAAATGCAACCCGACCATTTTTGTCTTTGACCTATTTTTATTGAAGTATT